CAAAAGACATCTAGCTCACTGAGCAGCATCTTTCAATGGCAAAATGCCCAATGTTACATAGAACTTTCAAATCTTGATTAGTAATAAAATAATTTTGATCTTTAAAAGCAAACAAAACAATATGGTAATATGGTTCTTTTTTACTCTTATGGGCTTTCCCAGAGTAGAATATGCTACCAATTTATTAATGAGTATTGGAATTCATGGTATCAATCTAAACCAAATAAGATGTTGATGAGACTGCCTTTTTTTAAGATCAAAGACTTTTGTCTTTAGAATCTATGATTTCTTCCTTCAAAATGTCTGTCATGTACATCCTTTCCTCTGGGTTCCGCTGTTGACCTCCTAATCCCAAACTCTCATGATCTCATCCCCAAAATGGTACAGTAGATTTTCTTCTGGCTTCTGAGTCACCACTTTTTCTATTCTGTCAGTCCTGAATGTTACTGTCAGACTATTCTTCCAAAAATACTATTTTCATCGTATTATTTTTTATCTAGTAACTTGTTATAACTTCTTATACCCACACAAATCAACTTCAAACTTTTGGGCAAAGAAAGCGTTGCTTCTTATATCTCCCTTTCTGGTTTCCAGCTGTGTACACCAGAGTGCGCTCCGTTGCAATCTTAGCATCCGCATGGGTCCCTGGTTTTGACTGTCCCTTTAAAGTACCCGTATTTGCACACAACAGGAAGTAGGGTGTGGTTTGTTCTTGGATGAGACTAAAGTTGTGTGCTGAAAACAGTTTATCTTTGACCTAGAACCAGTGCTGCTTTTAGAAAAAAAAAACTTGTTTATAGTTGAAGTGAAAAGTTAAATCGCATTTTCAGTTAAAAGGAGGGTGTTTGAGTAGCAACAATGAATGCAGACTTGAAATGCTTCTGCTAATAAAAATGATGATGGCTATTATGTATTGAGAACTTACTATGTGCTAGGAACTACACAAATGTTGTCTACCTTAACTCTGAAATAGATACCATTATTATTTCTATTTCACAAATAAGTTGTCCAAGGTCACACAGTAAGCCAAGCCTGAAATCTGGGAAATTTGGCTCCAGGAATAGTCTCCCAACCACACAACTGTAACAACTCTTGGTGGTGGTGGTTTAGTCGCTAACTCGTGTCTGACTGTAGTGACCCCATGAGCTGTAGCCCGCCAGGCTTCTCTGGCCATGAAATTTCCCAGGCGAGAATACTGGAGTGGGTTGCCATTTCCTTCTCCAGAAGATCTTCCTGACTCAGGGACCGAACCCACGTCTCCTACATTGCATGCATATTCTTTACTGCTGAACCATTAGGGAAGCCCTATAATAACTCTTAATAGAACCTAAGTCCAGTATCCACCCTGAAACCCGAGAGATGGCTGCTCTAGGAAATAATAGTTTGGGCTTACGTTGTAGAAGAAATGCCATCTATCTGGAAGAAAAATTTTATTTTTTTTTAACATAATCGTGATTTATCATGGGCCCAAAGCCAGCCTAAATGGTCATCTCCCCACCTTGCTTCCATTTTTGTCTGGTTCCTCGAGTTATTGTTCAGCAGGCATGTTTCACAAAGAAAACCCACAGTTTAGAGAGCACAGTGTTGTATTCCAAATGAGATCATTCGCCTGAGTACTGCAGATTACAGTGCAGTGGGATTACTCTGTAGTAAGGTCCATGCTGTGATCCTTTTTAAGATCAAAGACTTTTGTCTTTAGAATCTATGATTTCTTCCTTCAAAATGTCTGTCATGTACATCCTTTCCTCTGGGTTCCGCTGTTGACCTCCTAATCCCAAACTCTCATGATCTCATCCCCAAAATGGTACAGTAGATTTTCTTCTGGCTTCTGAGTCACCACTTTTTCTATTCTGTCAGTCCTGAATGTTACTGTCAGACTATTCTTCCAAAAATACTATTTTCATCGTATTATTTTTTATCTAGTAACTTGTTATAACTTCTTATACCCACACAAATCAACTTCAAACTTTTGGGCAAAGAAAGCGTTGCTTCTTATATCTCCCTTTCTGGTTTCCAGCTGTGTACACCAGAGTGCGCTCCGTTGCAATCTTAGCATCCGCATGGGTCCCTGGTTTTGACTGTCCCTTTAAAGTACCCGTATTTGCACACAACAGGAAGTAGGGTGTGGTTTGTTCTTGGATGAGACTAAAGTTGTGTGCTGAAAACAGTTTATCTTTGACCTAGAACCAGTGCTGCTTTTAGAAAAAAAAAACTTGTTTATAGTTGAAGTGAAAAGTTAAATCGCATTTTCAGTTAAAAGGAGGGTGTTTGAGTAGCAACAATGAATGCAGACTTGAAATGCTTCTGCTAATAAAAATGATGATGGCTATTATGTATTGAGAACTTACTATGTGCTAGGAACTACACAAATGTTGTCTACCTTAACTCTGAAATAGATACCATTATTATTTCTATTTCACAAATAAGTTGTCCAAGGTCACACAGTAAGCCAAGCCTGAAATCTGGGAAATTTGGCTCCAGGAATAGTCTCCCAACCACACAACTGTAACAACTCTTGGTGGTGGTGGTTTAGTCGCTAACTCGTGTCTGACTGTAGTGACCCCATGAGCTGTAGCCCGCCAGGCTTCTCTGGCCATGAAATTTCCCAGGCGAGAATACTGGAGTGGGTTGCCATTTCCTTCTCCAGAAGATCTTCCTGACTCAGGGACCGAACCCACGTCTCCTACATTGCATGCATATTCTTTACTGCTGAACCATTAGGGAAGCCCTATAATAACTCTTAATAGAACCTAAGTCCAGTATCCACCCTGAAACCCGAGAGATGGCTGCTCTAGGAAATAATAGTTTGGGCTTATGTTGTAGAAGAAATGCCATCTATCTGGAAGAAAAATTTTATTTTTTTTTAACATAATCGTGATTTATCATGGGCCCAAAGCCAGCCTAAATGGTCATCTCCCCACCTTGCTTCCATTTTTGTCTGGTTCCTCGAGTTATTGTTCAGCAGGCATGTTTCACAAAGAAAACCCACAGTTTAGAGAGCACAGTGTTGTATTCCAAATGAGATCATTCGCCTGAGTACTGCAGATTACAGTGCAGTGGGATTACTCTGTAGTAAGGTCCATGCTGTGATCCTTTGTGAGAGCCTCTTGACTAAACCCAATTTGACAGTTTTCATGGTGTAAAAAAAGGCTCAAGTCAGAAAGACTAGAATCAGTGTCTCCCATTTAAAGATGCTTCCAACAGAAATGTGATCACAGACCATATATGAGTAGAGAGAACTGACTAGACAGTCAACGGAATGTGGGAAAGCCTATGCTGATAATTCAGATCTAAAGAGACATTGAACGTGAGATGTTGCCTCAGTTGCCTATTACAGTGTAATCAAGTCCTAGTGACTCAAGAGCCAGTTGTCACACTTCTTTCTAGCCTCATATCCAATGGCTCATGTTGGTAGCCTAAATGCCACCATGGTAGGAGCACCTTGGGCAGGTGCAAACGCCACAGGTTGTGACTCCTTCCCTTCCCCTCTTCAGCGGTTGAACAAACGTACCTCCCCCTAGAACAGCAGCTGTGTACTACTTCTTACAATTCTGTGAGCTGGCTGGGCTCATCTGGCAATCTGCTTTATATGGTGAACCTATGGTGACTTCTACGGCTGCCTGCAGCTAGGATAGGATTTCTCAAGTTTGGCATTACGTTCGGAGCTAGATAATTCTTCGTGGTGGAGGTTATCCTGTACATTGCAGGATTTCAGCTGCATCTTTGGCCTCTACCTACTCAATGCTAGAAGGGACAACCAAAAATGCAGTGTAAAATTGCTCAGGCTGAGAACCTTTGACCCAGGAGCTTGGCTGAGGCTGAAATATCAAAGATTGTTCCTTTTCTTCCAGTTGTCAAGGATCCTTTGTTAAAGGAGAATGTATTCCTGAAACTTGTCTAAGATGGCTATGTTAGTGGCTCAGTCATATCCGACTCCTTGCATCCCCTTGGACTGTAGTCTGCCAGGCTCCTCTGTCCATGGGATTTCCCAGGCAAGAATACTGGAATGGGTAGCTGTTCCCTTCTCCAGGGGATCTTCCCAACCCAGGGATTGAACCCTGTATTGCAGGCAGATTCTTTATCGTTTAGGCCACCAGGGAAGCCCTATAAGATGGTTAGGCAGACTTTATTCAGGGGGACTACTACATGGGGAGAGAGATTGGGCTCAACTCCAAATACAGCAAGAAAAGTAGGAATTTATAGCCACAGAGCAGGGTTGCGGGGTCAGTGGGTGGAAAATTACTGAGAGGAAACATCAGGGGTCGAGGCACTGGCTAAACCAACTTAATAGGATTCTTGCTGAAGGCAGCCTGGGCAATAAAAGACCAAGCATGGAATATTCTTGATAAACTGACTCAGCATGATTCTTACTAAAACTAAACTAAGCAGACCAAGGACAGAACCCGAGATTAGAGTCCAATCAGCAAGAGGACTCTGAGGAGTCTGACTCAACTTTGGTCAACAAAAGAGTCTTTGTCGTCTCAGTATGGGCCCTCATCATTCCGCAGTCTAGTTCAAGCTGCCTCACAGCACAGTGTCTAGCTTTCAGACAATAAGAGCAAATGCTAACTGGAGCAACATCACTTTCACTGTATTTTTAATTGGTCAAAGCAAGTCACAAGTCCAGGTCAGATTGGAGGGGAGGGGAAATAGACTCCATGTCTTGAAGAGAGGAGTAGTAAACTGTGGTCATCTTTAATCCATGTGGTACCGTATTTACATTTACAAGTACTCACGAGTGAATACTCTGCAGAAGGAAAGGAAATCTTGAGAGATCTTGTAGATCTTGATCTACAATCTTGAGATCTTGTATTCAGGATCAGTCAAAATTAACTCCAGAAATATACGTAACAGCCCTTATAAATGGACTAAAGGTGAACCTGATTACTCATGAGATGGCAAAGAAAAGAAATGTTACCATACTCTGAGGGTACAGGTATTTATTTTCAGATTCTATTGTATTTATTATATCAAAGGTTCTGAACAAGTTGGATGCCACCTCTGGTTGTAGTATTGGTAAAGACATTTTCCCACTGGAAAAATAAGTAGTCCTTAGCAGGTTGCTGATACTAATTTTTTGTTCTTCAGTGGAATAATGATAGCCAAAAAGATGCTCCTGAAAATGGAAGCAGTATGGTGAATGTTTGACTGTTTTATATCATTTAGAATTAATGTTTTATGCATCCTTGTCATTATAAGAGTTAGAGTTTATAGAGTTTTTAAGGATCTTTCCCAAGATGTTTTCTAAAGAACTGGTTGTTTACAAGAGGGATAAGTGTCTATTTTCATTTGAATTTTCACCTTTATATCTTTCCACTAGAATGCTAATGCTAGGAGCAGGTATTTTTTGCTCTAAGGCACTGCTGCTGGGGCTGCTAAGTCGCTTCTGTCATGTCCAACTCTGTGCGACCCCATAGACAGCAGCCCACCAGGCTCCTCCGTCCCTGGGATTTTCTGGGCAAGAGTACTCGAGTGGGTTGCCATTTCCTTCTCCACTCTAAGGCACTATTTTCCCAAAAAAGCAGAACTCTAGTTTCACAGAATGTTAATGGGTATTACACATAAAGGAATTTATAGGTTGTATAAGCTCAGGAAATTCTAAGTTAGGAGTAAGCAGGTTTCTTTACTGTTGGAATTCTAAGGGTGTTTACTATAGTAGTGTATATTATAACTCATAAAATATACAGTGTTTCTTAGACTTATTTAACCGTAGAAATAGAGGCACATCTTACATAACTAGTGTTCCTCAGGATACCCCTGGTAGAAATTATACTAGATGAAAATAAAGGAGGAAGAAAAATCTTGAGAATTCTATTTAAGATCAATCAATATTTACTCCCCAAACAGGCAGAGCAGTAGCCTTAGCACTTAAAAAAAGCTGTCCTTGAAGCAGGCACTTGAATCCAATAATGTACTATACTGTGTTTGTTCTAAACATCAGCAGTGTTTTGAACACAGAGGACTGAAACAGTTTAAAAATCATTTTGCAAAAGTTATTTTACATTCATGAAATTTAGTTCTCAAAGATTTCGTTGAAACAGTAATTTAGAAAGAGAGAACCGGAACAAGTTTGTACCTTTTCTATTTTTTTGTCACGTTGACAAAGAAAAGTTGTTTATGGTGTATAGAGATCAATGTTTAGATATATGTAAACATGATGAAATGATTACCACACTCCACCCTTCTTATAAACTAAATTTGCAGCATTAGGAATTAGAATTTGGATGGCAAGCAGTATATTAACATACTTGTGGGCAACTTCTCAGATAGTTTTCAATGATGCCCATATCCTGGTATTCATGTCCTGTATAATCTTCTCCTCCTGACTGTAGGCTGAGCTTAGTGAGTTTCTTCTAAGGAACAGAATGCAGCAAAGGTGATGGATATTACTTCTGAGATTAGGTTGCAAGTGACTGGCTTCTGTCTTGCTTACTCTTTCCTGCTCTCTGACACACTCAGATGAGGCTGCTGCCCTCTGTGAGGAGGCTCACATGATAAGGAATTGAGGGAGGCCTCAGGCCAGCAGCTCTGAGGAGCTGAATCCTGCAACAGCCTCAGGAGTGAATCTGGAAGCGGACCATCCCCCAGTTAAGCTTTGACTTGACAGGACTCTATCCCTGTTGACACCTGAACCTGGCCTTGTGAGAGACCCTGAGCCCGAGGACCCTGCTAAGCCATGCCTAGGTTCCTGATGCAGAAGCTGTGAAAGAATGTGTTTGTTGTTCTGGGCTGCTAAATGGTGGGGCAATTTGGTAGGCAGCAATACAACTAGTGCAGTATTAAGAGAGGTATTTCGAGAATACCAGTGCTGTCTTATCTGAATCAAACCTTGCAGGTAGTGGAAGAAACGACTAAAGCATTGTGGGGAAATCGTGCTTTAGAGTGGAAGTGTAGAAAAGTCCTGATTTAATTGGGAGAAACAAAGAGGATCTTGAAGATGAAATCTAGGTGAGAAGAGTCTTGACATTTTCTGTGCCAGTTCAGGAGGAGGTAGAGGGGGTAGAAGTGATAATAGTGTGGTCACTGCAATTGGTTGTCATAGGGCTCCCTGTTATACAAAACTAGCCTCCAAGAGATCATCGTTTGGTTTAACTATTACGCTTAGTTACAGGGGAAGGATGTTAGGGCCACCAGGAACAATAATCTGCTCTATTTATTTATTTGTGGCTGTGCTGGGTCTTCGCTGCCGCGTGGGCTTTTCTGTAGTTGCTGCGAGTGGGGGCTGCTTTCCTCGGCGGCGCGTGGTGACTTCTCTTGCTGTGGAGCTCAGAGCGGGGGGGCTTCAGTCGTCCAGGCTCCCGGCCTCTAGGGCACAAGCTCAAATAGCTGTGGCTCATGGGCCTATCTGCTCTGCCGCACGTGGCATCTTCCCGGATCAGGGTTGAACCCATGTCTCCTGCGTTGGCAGGCGGAGTCTTCACCACTCAGCCACCAGGGAAGCCCCTCATGTGGCCATGGAAGGTTCTTCCCCTTCCCGCCCCCCTCACCGTGAACTCGGGTTTGGACTGTTCCTTTTAGGTGTTCTTCTATACATTGTTTTAACCCCCAGATCTGTATCGAATACTTACTGCCTGCTTAGCACTGTTTCAGGCACTGAGGATTCCATGAAGAAATCCTCACCCTCTTGAAATCTAGTGACGAAAGACAGTAAACAAAGTAAATAAACATTGCCATATCACATACGAACAAAAAGAAAAGACATGTAGTATAGTTATTCAGTACTACTGGGGGAAAGGGAAGCAAGAAAAGGAGAGATGGAGGGAGTTCTAGTTTTCTTACCAGTTATCAAGGTCTGGAGTCTAAACAGTGGCGTGTCCACTGCTACACTGGGCCCATTGTACTCTGACTGTATTCCAGTTCACCCTGACAAACCACCAGAGTCTCTAAGGCTTTCTCTCTCCCTTTGGATGCTGCATTCTTATTCCTGGCCACATGGCATGCGGGGTCTTAGTATCCAACCAGGGTAAAGGAGAAGCTATTTCCAGAGTAAAACACTGGTGCAAAGAGATAATATACATGGTTCAAGGTATCTTTACTTTAAGTGATATTAGCAGATCAGGCTAACTCTGGCCCAAACGAATCAGTTCACTCTGAGAGTTCAGAAAGTGAAAGTGAAAGTCGCTCGGTCATGTCTGACTCTTTGCGACCCTGGGGACTTAGCCTGCTAGGCTCCTCTGTCCACGGAACTTTCCAGGCCAGAATACTGGAGTGGGTAGCTGTTTCCTTCTCCAGGGGATCTTCTCAACCCAGGGATTGAACCCAGGTCTCCTGCATTGCAGGCAAATTCTTTACCATCTGAGCCACAGAGAAGCCTGAGAAGTTCAGAAGACAAGCACAAATTTCAAACAAGAAGCCACATTGAAACAGCCACATTGAAACAATGACCACTTATTCTCATCCAGCCCTGAAGATTAGCTTGTTGCCTCTTTTCTCAAGGGTGTAAATTGTTTAGCTTAGTGACCTTGATTTGTTGCTGTGTTTTATTTAATTGGGCAAAGACCTGAGTGATGGACTGGGTGATGAAGTTTGGGGGAAGGAAAACTTAGGTACTTAGGTACCTCTACTTAGGTAGAGGTACAATTTTTTGAAGTTTATTTCAGAGTACATGAGTTGATCAGGGAAGTTAAAGGAAAAGAAGCCATGGGTGGATATGCAGAACACAGTAGCTTCCTTGGTTTCTGAGAGTTCTTCATGTTTCCTCTGGAAGTATCTGAGGACAGGGCTTTGTATCACCTCTGCCATCTTGTGCTTTTTAGCCTGGTTCTGTCTTTCCTTCCTTTCCTCCCTCTCTCCTTTGTTCCATCCCTCCCTCTCTTCTTCCCACCTTCAGAAATGGTGGGGAAAAGGGAAAGATAATAGGGCTAGAACAGTAAGAGTTCTGTAAAATTCCACATATTGTATGGAAGTAAAAAATGGAATCCTTTAATCCTACCTAAGTTTTATTTTTAACATTTTGATTTTAGCACTTTTTTGTTGTTGTTGTTGTTGCAATAAAATCAGAACTATCGCCTGTGTGTCAAATTTGACTAAGGCTAAAAATAGGCTAGCAAGGTTGAGCATGAAAGAAGTGGCCCAGCTTCTCCTTCCTCCCTTTCATTTTGTTTCAGTTTGAATGAGAAGGAGGTGGCTCACACAATGAACAAGAACAGCAACTGGCTGGGTGTCTGTGTTCTTTCAGCCAATTATGATATTTTTGTGGGAAAGTTTCCAATTCTGAAGTCTCAGTTATGTAGAGGTGGGAGGCAGCTGGTGTGAATGTCTGTCTGCAGGGTACATGCATGATTACTCTGATCCAATATGGCATGACAGCAATGTGCTTATTCAAAAAAGTAATGGTCTCAATTTCCCTGTACTTTAAAGCATCTTTATCTTCACCACTTAAAAATAAAAACCCCAAAAGCCTTAAAGAGACAAAAAGGTCAAAGCCAAAGTCACTAAAATATTTTGAGATCTCTCAGCCACCTCTAGGGAGGGATATCAGTAATGAAATTAAGTGTAATGGTCCACATTAACTACTATCTTCCTCCACAGCTCCAATAGCCTCCCCTTGAAGTCTTCATTTCATTAACTACCATCCTCCTCTCAATTTTCAAAATTTCTTACCTCTCTCCTTCATCCCTCACATCCAAATTGCCACCCAATCCTGCCTCATCTACCTTCAAAGCATTTGTCCATTTACTTACTCATGTATTTGTCATGCACTTACTAAATACCTACTGTGTATGATGCACTGTGTTAGGCACCATGGGATACAGTGACACCTCAGAGAGATAACTTCTGCCATCACACAGCTATCGTCTGGATGGGGGGCCCAGGCAAGAGACAAGTAAACAAGCAATTTCCATACTGTGTGCAAGCTCTTGTGGGAGTACATCGGGATCCCAGAGAACTGATGGTGTAGCTGAGACTGAAAGGTTCAGAAGAACGTAGCTGGAAGAAGGATGCTTTAGGCATCATCCATTCTAAAAAATTTTATCGAACACTAACTGCGGGTCAGGCTTTATGCTAGACTCTGCAGAGTTAGAAAGATAGACAATCCAGCCTCTCTGACTGCTTAGGGGAGTCGGGGTGAGGGAGACAGAGACATGAAAACTGTTGTTGTCGTTCAGTTGCTAAGTGGTGTCTGACTCTTTGAGACTCCATGGACTGCAGCATGCCACACTTCCCTGTCCTTCATTGTCTTCCAGAATTTGCTCAAACTCGTGTCCATTGAGTCGGTGATGCCATCCAACTATCTCATCCTCTGTTGCCCGCCTCTTCTCCTGCCCTCAATCTTTCCCAGCATCAGAGTCTTTTCCAATGAGTTGGCTCTTCAAATTCAGTTCAGTTCAGTTCAGTCACTCAGTCGTGTCCGACTCTTTGTGACCCCAGGAACCACAGGACGCCAGGCCTCCCTGTCCATCACCAACTCCCAGAGTTTCCCCATCTATTTGCCATGAAGTGATGGGACTAGATGCCATGATCTTAGTTTTCTGAATGTTGAGCTTTAAGCCAACTTTTTCACTCTCCTCTTTATTGATATTTCTCAATATCAATAACCTCAGATATGCAGATGACACCACCCTTATGGCAGAAAGTGAAGAACAACTAAAAAGCCTCCTGATGAAAGATTAGGTGGCCAAAATACTGGAGTTTCACCTCAGCATCAGTCCTTCCAATGAATATTCAGGGTCTCCTCTGGCAAAATTAGGGAATTAAAAGATTCATCACTTTCCTACTGAAAAGTCCAACCTTCAGTTGCTCTTGAGTGCGCTCTCTTGCAGCTCCTGGCTCTTTTATGAATGCCCAATATTCCCAGGCATTCTCCCTATTAAGTGAACACAGGGCAAGTACTTCCCTGTCTACCTCTTTATGTTTCAGAACACAACTAAAGATTTTTTTAAAAGTTAAAAAAAACTAAACCCTTTTTATTTTGTATTAGAGTATAGTCAATTAAAAATGTTGCGGTAGTTTCAGATGGACAGCAAAGGGACTCAGCCATACAGTATTATAAATAAATCCATTCTCCCCCGTACTCCCCTCCCATCCAGATTGCCACATAACATTGAGCAGAGTTCCAAGATTCTTTACTGGAGAGCTGGGTTAATTAAAAAAGATCACACTGTATAGGAAGGGAGAACCGTCAATTGTCAGTTAACATAGTTTTTTCCCTCCACAGTTCACGGGAAAAGAACTTAACGTATACATTCAACAAATACATGCCAGCTGTCTTGCTGAGCTGCCCAAGACAGATAAAATCTCCTACATGTTGAGCTTTCATTTGAGGAGCAGATAGACAGGAAATAAGTAAACATACATACATTGACAACATAATTAGAGATGAATGAGGTGGTACTTCTGATAGCCCTTTTAGGGAAGGGTGTCAGTTCTATCATTTCGAAGGAAGTGATGTGTTTGAGCTGAGACCTGAAGGGTGGGAAGGAGCTGGTCTTCAAAAAAGCCGAAATAGAGTTGCAGAAAAAGAGGCCACGTGAAACTGCTCCTGGGTTCCCCTGCGACTCAAGTCACTGCCTTATCACTGGTGTCACCCTCTGCTCTTCACCTGCTCACAACAGTGGCCACCGGTCTTTCAGGACAACTCAGGCCACGGGGATTGGGTTTCCCCTCCAGGCAGGGCCTGCTTCTCCGAGCCAGGAGACGTTGAGTATCATCCCTGGATGGTGTGTTCTGTTTGAACCAGCGGTTTCACCCCTAGACTGTGACGGCCTTCCATTCACGGACTCGTCAGTCCTTTCTCATTGTCTAGGAACTTGACTTGATTTCTTTAATTAGTGAATCTACAATTCAAATTCAAATGGCAGAGCCTTTTGATGGATGATTAATTAGAAACCCTCTGTTTTCCAATTCTGTTCTGGTCATCCCCCTATTTTTCCCAGATCATATTGTTCTAAGCCTCAATTACATGAAGGTCAGAAGGTCCCCGACTAACTCCAGATGCCACTGGATTGGCGTTTAGGGCCACTTCAGGAAGGTAGGTCCTCAGGCGCCCAGGTGCAGCTGGAGACCCGGAGTGCGGGCGCCCCGATGACGTCACTCCAAGGTTGCCGGCACAGCGCGGGGCGTGACGTCACGCGGGCGGGCCAGGCCATCGTGAGGTCACCTGGTGGGTGCGGCCAGGCCGAATCCCCAGTGTCGTCACGGGAGGGGGCGGGGCCAGAGCGTGTCAGCGAAGCCGAATCAAAACAAGCCCGAGACCCGCCTTTTCCCTCTGGCTGGAGAGCGTCTTGCTCGCGCCCCGAGCCCGCGGCGCCCGCGAGCCTCGGGTGACCGCGCGCCGGCTCCAGGAAGCCGGGGAGGGCGCGGCTCAACGCCGCGGCCGCCGCGGGGGCTGCAGCCGCGGGCGACGCCAAAAACGGTAAGTCGGGTCCGGTCGGGCGAGCGCCAACTTCCTCACCGACGGGGACGGCGCGGCGGCGGCGGGGCCCAGGGTGGCGCGGGCGATGCGTGGACAATGCGAGAGTCAGGAAGTGCTCACCCCGCCCCTCCGCCCCGCCGCGGCTGCCCCTTCCCGGTCCCCACGCACGGCGGCGGCGATCGATCGGCGGCCCCGGCTCGGTGTCCGCGCGGCTCTCTGGTCGCGCGCCTCGGGCAGCCTGCGCCCCAAACTCTGAGGGGCTTTCGGGTCCCGGGTCGGGGCGGCGCTCCCCTCGGGCCCTGCCCGTTGTCCCCGCGCTGGCAAAGCCGAGTGTGTGCCTCAGACCAGGGGGAAGGAAGGAAGGAAGGAAAGAAAGAGCTGCTTAAGTTGAGAAGAATGGTCCGATTGAAAACTTAGGCACCAGTTCCTTCTCCCCTGTGCTCCCCTCACCCACCCGCCTTCCCCTCCCCTGAGTGAAGGGGAGCCTCACATCCCGGCCGACCCGGGCCTGCTGTGTCGATTGCCACAGGTGAAGAGGCCCCGAGACATTTTTACTGTAGGGTGTGTGTGTGTGTGTGTGTGTGTGTGTGTGTGTGTCGTTGGGGTGAGGGGGCGGGGGTGTGCTCTTTAATTCTGTTCGCTTGAGGAAGGAAGAGACTCTGAACTTGACTTCCGTTCTCAGCCCGGAGTTAAAAAAAAAAAGAAAAAAAATCATTATTTAATTCGACTTCACATTTTAGGAGGAAGCTTAATAATCTGAAAGAACCTTTTGAAGGAGCATTTAAGGAATAGTGAAGATGCCACAGGATTGCCGTTGTCACTGCAGACACAGTCTTATAGGGTACTGGGCAAACACTTTTTCGGACTTGGGCAGTTCTTCGAATTCCTCTGGTCAAGCAGGTTTTCAGGGCAGGGAATATAGGTATATTTTGATGAAGAGAGATTGGCTTCTTAATATCTGACTTTTAACTTGTAGGTTTCAGCTTCCAAAGCCCTTCTTTATGTAGATCACTTGCTTTTAAACAGGTGAACTGCTCGTAGAAGAACCCCCACGGTGATCAGAGCAGAGGAGGCTGAAGATTAGCATATTAGAAACAGAACCTTAGGCCCCATTGGCTATATCTCTGCAATTTTGAAATAGGAAGTTTCTTCCCCCCCCCCCCCCGTGAAAAATCATGTAGTTGCTCATCTGTGTCCAACTCTTTGCCACCCCATGGACTGTAGCCTGCCAGGCTCCTCTGTGAAATTCTCCAGGCAAGAATACTGAGTGGGTTGCCGATCCCTTTTCCAGGGGATCTTCCTGACCCAGGGATCAAACCTGGGTCTCCGCCTTCTTTACCTTCTCAGTCACTTTAATGGTCACCCCCCCCCCCTTTTTTTTTGTTACTAAACTTCATCTTGGTATTGATGTGGCAGAGGAGAAAGAAGAGACTCCTTGCTCAGCCGTTCAGTTTTGTCATCTTGGGAAGGACAGCTGTTCTGAGCCTCAATTTCCTACCTTGTAAAATCGGGAAAAAGAATTTATACTGATTGTATCGGCTGGCTCAGGAAGTTATCATGAGGCTTAGAGTGTCCCTTCTCTACCCAGTCCCCAGGACCTGTTTTAGAGGCTGGTTACATTTGTAGCAAGCTTAGTCAAGTTTGTCAAGGAAAGTAAGTGATCAGTGGATGACAGCTGTCATTCACTCATTCAGAAGATACTGAGCATTGACCATGTTACAAGTACTGTGTTAAGTATTAAAGGACAGGTGGCCATCAAGGAAGGACCCCTGGTCCTTGCTGGAGCTTGCCTTCCTGGGGTGGCTCGGAGGGTTTACCCTGCATCTGCTTGAAAGTGTAGGGTTGACTGTTCCCTTTTCTTCTTTCTTCAAAAGAGAAGACCTCGTAAAGACGGTGTGAGGGCATGTTTTCCTTAGGCTGTGGTTATGGTGCCTGATTACTGCTCTCTACTGAAGTGACAGTCTCAGGTATATTTAGCAGTTCTGTGTGTATCCATGTGAAGGTATGTATTTGTGATTTGGAGCTTGTTTTATTACATGAATGGGGGAGAAAAGGAAGAAAGGGGCCAAACATTGTAATAATCACACTTAGAGAAGGTACAAACTTATGTTAGAGCATAAGTGAATTGCAATTTTTTTTTTGTTTTTAATGTTTGTTTATTTATATATTTGGCTGTTTCATGTCTCAGTTGGGCGTGCAGGATCTTTAGTTGCAGCATGTGGGATCTAGTTCCCTGGCCAGGGATTGAATCTGGGCCCCCTGCACTGGGAGCACGGGTAGAGTCTTAGCCACTGAACCACCAAGGAGTCCCCAGTGAGTTGAATTTTATGATGCCAAATTCTTGATTCTGACGTGGTGTGAAGTCTCAGTGAGTGATCCACCTTAATGTGAAGAATCTTTCACTGCCGTTGATGATAATTGCACATGGGTGCTGAGGTCTCCTGTGTGCATAATTGGTAAATGAGGAAATTATAAATGCTTTTTTGTTCTTTTTTTTTTTTCCATTTAAAGATGTGTTTTTTAATGTGGATGTGGGAGAGGTGGCATTGGTGAATTTTTAAAGGAAGGGGCAACTGATACTTGCAACCTCTCAATCAACTGATAAAACCCACTGATTTTTAAATTTCAGGATGACATTAATTGAACTCATAGTATTTCTAAGTCAATTTTTTTATTTAGCTGAGACATTAGATTTTGTAATTATGAATATTACACGTCAGTTATTTCAAGAGTGTAGTACATTTACATTATTAAACTTTTAAATGATTTGCTCTCACTGTTCAAGTCCGTTGTGACCTACATCTGCAAGCATTCAAACTATATGACTTCACCTAAAGTTAATAGTACTTATTTGTAGTTGTTTGGAGTTCATAGGATGGTTTTATGTCTTGTGCTTCCTGGGCAGTGTGGACACCAGGGCAGGGTAATATTGTTCCTAGTTTTTCACTGTTAGTCAGTAGTTATTTATAACTACTGATTCTATAAAAAAGATTTGGTGGTTAGGGAAACCTTGAGGAAGCCATGGCTGGGTTATATAGTTGAAGTTAAACTACTTGAAGTTAGGCTTCTTGGTTAAGTTGAATATTAATTGTAAGGACTTTGTACCCCAAGAAGAAATTAATTAGTACATTTTCAGATACTGGTTTATGAAGTTTTTGTGGGGATTGGAGTAAAAGATGAGGAAGCGCTGTCCTCTTTCTACATAGTAAACATCTGTCTGCACATATTGCAACATTTTGATTGTAGATGGACAAGATTTGCCAGTGATTATTTTTAGGTTCTAGTAATCATGCAGTAGATTATACCCATGTATAGTTTCACTCTGGAATTCTGATTCTATATGGCCACTGGTTTTTGCTTGAGGCCTAAAAATATATGAACTCTTGGTCATAGTATCTACTTTTTAATGGGCCTGAATCTCAAATCCTTTTTATAAATTCCTGTTTTATGGATGACCATGGTTCACCATTCCATTCATTCCTGACTACCGCCAGAACCTCTGGGTTGCTGAGTTTGCCTTCATTCATTCAACCGTTCATTCATTATTCTTTGTAGTACATTGGGTTAGTTTACCCAGTGATTGATCTTGCATTTATTATAATATATATAATACTATACATAATATTAAGCTGATGCTTAAGCTCCAGTACTTTGGCCACCTGATACGAAGAGCCGACTCATTGGAGAAGACCCTGATGCTGGAAAAGATGAAGGCAGGAGGAGAAGAGGGTGACAGAGGATGAGTTGGTTAGGTAGCATCGCTGACTCAGTGGACATGAATTTGAGCAAACTCCAGGAGATAGTGGAGGATGGAGGAACCTGACGTGCTCAAGTCCATAGGGTCCCAAATAGTCAGACATGACTTAGCAACTGAACAACAACAGCAATATATAATATTATACATTTATATATAAATAAAATACATGTATTTATATATATAGTGGCTGATTTACATGGGTTAGCCACTCATCTTAGATTCTGGAAATAGTCTTTGAGACAAAGATTTACCTGCCGGCTGTTTACTGGATGTGCTCTTTGCATTGTTACTGGTCAGGGAGTGAGGGAAGCAAGACTGAGCAGAGGGAGGAGCTGAGCTGTGATGTGAGGGAGGTCAGGAGTGGGCTGGCCCTCCTGAGTTATCTTACCTTGAGGCGTGTGGGTGGGACCTTAACTACCCCCCATCCCCACATACACATTGGTTGATCACTGGACATGGGGTGCCCCCAGGAAGAGAGAATGATCTGGGAGGTGGGTGACAACTGTTAACTGTAGAACTTCTGTGGACATTTCAGCAGAGTAGTAAGTACAGGTACATCACTATTTTTAATGATTGCATAGTATACCATTGTGTGTCTGCATCTTGGATAAACTGATCATTCTGCTCTTGTTTGATCTTTAAGTTCTTATTTGTACATGTCTAAGCATTATTCAGTTACTTCTTTAAGATAAACTATTACCTGTAGACTTGCTATGTCCAAGAATATGCACTTTGTTATGACTTTTAACACATGCCTGCAGATTGCCCTATAGAAAGGTTGTACCATTTTAACTTCACTGTGGTCAGAGTGCCCTTTCCCCCCGGCCTCTTCAGTTTCTAGTTCTTACTGTTTTAAAGGTGTGCTGGAGAATTGCTGGTACTCCTCAAATGTATCTGCAGTAGGGAGGCCCT